TGTTTTGGAAATGTTAGATTTGAAATGCCTGAAGGCTACCCTACTGGAGCTGTCAAGCAATTAGCCAGATATATAAATCTGAAGTGCAGAGGAGGACTAGGCTAAAGAAGCTGGTTTAGGACTTGTTGGCATCTAAAGGATATTAAAAATCTGAAAATAACTGTGTTCTGTACAGCATCCCAAAGCTACAGAACACACATTTAATTTGCTCCAAGTATCACCTGAGTAGATATATTACTTTTAATGATGAAAACTTAGAAAAAGATTTTCTTCTATTTTATCAACATATAGAATGTATTTCCATATCATCTAAAATAACTTACAATAAACTCTATCAGAAGACTTTTTTTAAGTTTTTCTCACAAACTATCAAAAGAACTAAAATTTTAGAACCTTTTCCCTTAAATACACTATAGCTCTCCCCACTGATTCCATATAGCTATTCGGACTGCAAAATAGATGATAAGTAAAATTATTTACTGAGTCTAAAGTACATATAAAGATTTACAGAAACAGGAAGCAGCTCACCCATTCAATAATAAAAATATGCATAAGTATACACATATCTGGAATATAACTGATCAATTAAAATGGAATTATTTAAAACATTTTGACTGAGAAGGCTTAGGGATCTTTTATTATTAAAAAACTGCATGAATTATTAAAATATGAACATACACAAAATTCTTATGAAGTATGGCTTTATAGCAAAGAGTAAGTATCACTTGCTACCTGCTACAATCCACTCTATCCCATTGGGGATTTAATTACACCAAAAGGCAGTCTAGCTGAATTGATTACTTGGTAAGTTAGCATTGGGTAGACAGCATGGAGCCCAGAAAGATGGTTGATGAAGAGCTTTGCACAACATACTGATAATACTATAGTCTTCTTATGCTAGTAATTCATGTATAACCCTTTTAATTGACTGCATCATCAAATCTCCTATTTACCTCTATCAAATCTTCTCTCAAAACTTTTTAAAGATACTCTCCTCTTATTTCCCTATTTTGCATAGTGATACTAACAAAATGCTATTGAAATTAATACCATGAACATGATTTTAACTCCCACTTCTAGTTCCTACTTATATTAAACCACTAGCTCAAATGTCCATTTGCTCTTAATTAAAAACACTAATTAAAGCCTTCTACTACTGGCAGCAGTATTCGGAGTAAGTATTGTACTTTCTCTAAAACATTACAATAAAACTTCTTAGCTGTCCATGCCAAGGAAGGGTTTTTAAAATGTTAAATATCATTTATTTGTGCTTAAATTGTCTTATTTTCTTCAATCACCTATCATCTAATAGAACAATTAAAAATGAGTGTTTTTCTATTTCTTATACCTTTCAAATATACAAACTATATTAAAACGGAAGTACTGTATTCTAGTGCATACATTCAAAATGTTCTATTACTACATATTCTAAAAAAAAAAACCTCAGATCAATAAAAGACATATTTATAAAAACTGCTCTTCTAACATTCTACAAGTATTTACTGAAAATTATATATTCAACAATAAATACTACATGCTGGGTATTGTTTTATACTCTAAGGAGTCAGCAGTAAACAAAACAAACATAAATCCTTGCCCTCAAGAAGTTTACTGGATATTCTAACCCACTGTGGTTTATAAGTCTGACAAAAAAAGAAAAAAAAATAGAAACCTAGACTTCCCATCAAGAGAAAGTCATCCTCAAAAGCTTGGTTAACAATCTGAAACAAAAAAAAAAAAAACTCTGTAAAAATGTGAAGGAAAGAAAAAAGCTATAGAAAAAAAATTTTTTCCAAGCCAATACCCTTTATAAAAGGACATAAATTACTCTTATTTTAATATACTCTTTTAAAATATAGTAATATGTGCCAGACAATCAGAAATTATTATTTAGAGCCATGTAAGTTTTGGGTTTACTAAACCACAATTCAAAAAGAACCTGTAGACTACAAATTATCAGTTCTGTGAATCCAAATATAAGGAAATTAACAGATCGATAAGAGCTGCCACCATCATTTACTGAGTGCCTGCAATATGACAATCACTGCCTTAGCCATTTCATATATACTACCCCAATACTGCCCAATTTCAGTGTTGCTACTTTGTAGTGCAACAAGCATATTTTTTAAATAAACTAAATATTAACCACATGGTCACTATATAGAAAAGTAGATCCATTTTTTAAAAAAATTAGTAGTTAAGAGAAACCCATTTTTAAAAAGAAATATAATTGCTGCAAAACTTGAGTAGTAAAAGAGATCATTCTTTTTGAGATAATAAGTAATCTATAATCTCAGCTACTTTAAAGTACAGCACATCTTGGTTTCTGTTCCTTCGGCTGTCCAGCTAAGGGTTTAGAAAACAGCCAATGACAAGTGGTGAAAACAAGCACTGGATCACAAGTCAACCTAAGAACAAATCCATCTCTGACACTGTCTAGGTAAGTGAGTTTAGGTAAGCCATTTATCTTGAGGTTGTAACTTCATCAATAAAATAGGCATCATAATGCCAGTACAGGTAATGTAAACTTCTTGTGAGACCCTGGGAAAATACTTTTAAGTTAGAAGGTGTTCACAATAATAAGAAATTATTAAATAATCATTATGAGCTCTTTCAACTCTAAAATTATAGTACCATCATGCATCACTTAACAACGGGGAGACATTCTGAGAAAGGCATCGTTAGGCAATTTCATCACAGAGTGTACATATACAAACCCACATGGTATAGCCTACTACATGCCTAGGCTATATGGTATAGCCTATTGCTCCTAAGCTAAAACCTGGATAACATGTTATGTAAGGAATATTATACGTAATTGGAACACAATGGTAAGAATTTGTGTATGAAAACACATCTACACATAGAAAAGATACAGTAAAAATATGGTATAAAAGATTTAAAAGGGTACATCTGTATGGAACATTTACTATGAATGTGGCTTGCCATACTAGAAGTTGTTCTGGGTGAGTTAGTGAGTGAGCAGTGAGTGAATGTGAAGGCCTAGGTCTTACTGTACACTACTACAGACTTTACAGACACTGTACACTTAAGCTACACTAAATTTACCCCAAAAAAGTATTTCTTCAATAACAAATTAACCTTAGCTTACTGCAACTTTTTTCCTTCATAATTTTTTTAGCTTTCTTACTCTTTTATAATAATACTTAGTTTAAAACACAAACACATGATACAGCTGTAAAAAAATATTTTTTCTTTATAACCTTATGTTGTTGTTGTTGTTGTTTTCTTGAGTCAGAGTCTTACTCTGTCACCCAGGGTGGAGTGCAATGGCACGATCACCGCTACTGCAGGTTCAATCTGCTGGGCTCAGACAATTCTTCTGCTTCACTCTCCTAAATAGCTGGGACTACAGGTATGCATCATCACATCTGACTAATTTTTTAAATTGCTGTAGAGGCAAGGTCTCGTCATGTTGCCCAGGCAGGTCTCGAACTCTGGGCTCAGGTAATTCTCACCTTGGCTTCCCAAAGTGTTGGGATTACACGAGTGAGTTGGGATCACACCTGGTCTTTATAACCTTACTTTATCAATTATTTTCTACTTTTAAATTTTCTTTTTTTTTTTTACTTTTTTGTTAAAAACTAAGACACAAACACACACATTAATCTAGGTCTATATAGGGTTAGGATCATCAACACTGCTGTCTTCCACTTCCATATCTTGTCCCACTGGAAGGTCTTCTTCATGGGCAATAACACACTCATAGAGCTGTCATCTCCAATGCCTTCCTCTGGAACACCTTCTGAAGGACCTGCCTGAGGCTGTATTATGGTTAACTTTTTTTTTATAAGCAGAAGGAGTACACTCTAAAATAATGATAAAAAGTATAGTACAGTCAGCCCTCCATATCCACGGGTTCTACATCCTCTGACGCAACTAACCATGGATTAAAAATACAATATTCCTTTTTTTTTTTTTGAATTGTAGTCTCACTCTGTCGCCCAGACTGGAGTGCCGTGCCACGTTCCCGGCTACCGTAGCCTTGACCTGCTAGGTTCCGACGATCCTTCCGCCTCAGCCTTCCAAGTAGCTGGAACTACAGGCGCACGCTACCACGCCCGGCTAATTTTTTTATTTTTTTATTTATTTTTTTATTATAGAGATGAAGTCTCGCCAAGTTGCCCAGGCGGGTCTCGAACCCGCGGGTTCACGCAATCCACTCACCTCAGCCTCCCAAAGCACGGGATTACAGGCTGAACCACCGAGCCTGGCTAAAAATACAATATTCAAGTGGTACAAAACCCATTCAAAAAGAGGACGGACCTTTCAAATCAGCAGTTTCCACAAGAAAAGAAACTGAAGAAGTATAACATTAGGTTGATTTTCTCCAAGACAGGAATACAATTTGATGCCCCTATGTAGGTCAAGACCCTTGTAAAAGCCATGCAGAGAAACTAAATGTACCGACCTCCCTCAGAGGCAGTTCCTAAGTATATCACTTATATTCAGAATGAAACTGTCCACCACCCTTGCCATGGATCCATGCTTCTCCTACTGAGTAACAGAGCACTAAAACAGTGGTACTAAAAACCCAGGATCAACAAGGCGCATTTCTTCTTGGTGCATCAATAATCTCAGATTTGGAAAGAAATTTTTTTTTAATTTTAAAACAAACCAAAAAAGGCTATATTATGGACAAGGATAAAAAAAATTCACAAGAATTTTTTTGAGATAAAATAAGAAATGTAAAGATATATAATGCTACTAGAAGAATTCACTAGGCTGTATGCCCATACCTCAAGAGGACTGGGTACATTCTCTTCATTTTTTTAGATAATACTGATAGACAATAAAATACACAAATGTTCAGTGAGCGGCTCCATAAAATCTCACTAATGCATACACCCACATCGTATATAATTATGAATACACTCAGATGAAGATCTAGAATATTCAAGGTTCATTCAACTTTGACCTTAAAGATACTCTACGATAAAAATGTTTGAGAAACACAAAGTTAAGTCAATTTGCATTACCTGTTCTTGTCCATGGCGACTGTAAAACTTGACACTTAACATCCTTAATAACCCCAGAGTCTTTGGCACCTACAAAATAAATGAACATCATATGAAGAAAGATTAATGGAATGATTTGTCACTGTATAAAGTCCTTTTATCATAAAATGAAGACCACAGCAAATCTAATATTTTTTTAAATGATTAAGAGAATCATCAATAGGTATCAAGGATCTTGGTATGATTCTATTTTGGGAAAAAAGAAATCTACTAAGTGCTAAAATCTTACAAGATATATCCACAGTCAAGTGCTTCTTAAATATATAAATAACAAATCTAGAATAATGTATAAAAATCAGAGTCCTCTGCAAGCCTTTCTCAAATTAGGCTGCCCTGGGTTACATTTTAACCTACTATCACTATGGAAAAGGCCAAAGCCTCCAACAGAAATTTTATCCATACAAAAATACCAGAAAGAAAATCATCATTTAAAAATCAGTATCTGAAATAACTTAAATATAACCCAAGACCATTTTGTTTTTAGATTTAATAAATATACTTACAAAAGCAAGAAGAGGAAATGACAATATTTAAAACATGGAAATTAAGGGTTGTTGAGGATTTGGAACTTTCATTCATTGCTGATGGGAATATAAAATAGTACAACCACTATGGAAAACTTTTTGTGGTTCCTCAAAAAGTTAAACATAAAATTAACATATGACCCAGTAATTCCATCCTAGGTCTATACACAAAAGAACTGAAAACAGGTATTCAAAAAAATATCTGTACATGAATGCTCATAGCAACATTATTCACAATAACCAAACAGTGAACACAACCCATATATCCATTAACTGAAAAATAGATTAACAGTATGTAGTATATCCACACAATGGAATAGTAATCAGTCATAAGAAGGAATGAAGTATGGAGACAGGTTGGACCTCAAAAATATTATGGTAAGTGAAAGAAGCCAGATACAAAACATCACATATTGTATGAACCCATTTATATGAAACATTCAGAATAGGTAAACCATAGGGACAGAAAGCAGGCTAGTGCTTACCAGGAGCTGGGAGAAGGTAGAAAATAGGGAATGACTGCTAATGGGTTCTTTTTGGAGTAATAAAAATGTCTCGGAACTAGAAGGTGGTGATGATTGCACAACAGAGGAAATGTACTAAATATCACTGAATTGTATACTTTAAAATGGGTAATGTTTAATTTTATGCTATATGAATTTTACCTCAATTAAAAAAAAAAAAGCAAAAGGGAGTGTTGTTTGGTTGAGGCCAAACATTTTGCCGCCAGAACTTCTGAATAGTTAAAGACATTAGTGACGGCCCAGCTAGACATTTTCAAATATTTCCTTCAAATACAATGAAGAACAAGAAGCGAAAATAAATCACATGTAAGTCACTCTCTCAGCGTAACTTGAAGATAGAGAATAAACTAAACTTCAAAATAGCTTTAAGTAAAAGAGAAAAATCACCAAATCCCAGTGTATCATCTCCATCGCTCCTGCCAACCTCTAAGTCCTCACTCACCTCCCACTGTGGCCTTCCATGAGGCGTGGTGGTAAGCAAAAGCAAATTTAAAAAATACTGCAGGGCCCAAGGAGGGCAGAGGGGAGTTAGCAAACCTGTCTAACCATCTAAAACCACTGCCAAAAAGATTAAGTCCAATCTAAGTCTAAAAATATTAAAAAGCATCCAGGTCAATCAGACATGGACTACAGAGAAGGGACACAAGTGTGGGTATGACTTCAAGAGCAGTCTTCCAAGCACATAGATTCTGAAGGAGAAAAATGGCAAAAAAGGAAGAAGGGCCTTTTGCCAATTGGGCAGTGAAGGAGAAAAGACGCAAACAGAGGCATTTCCTGTGTTGCAACATAAAAAAGAACCATAACATCAGAGGACCTACATTCCCTCCCTCACCAACAAAATAAAACCAAAAAACCTATGGAAGTATTTGAACATAGTGATAGTGACAAAAGAGGGTACCATTAAGCTAGGAATCTTGAAAAGGATTTCAGTACCACAAAAATAAACAAGAAAGATTCACTAATACCTTGCCAAAAATCAAAAGACAAACGTCAATACATATCAACAAAGAGAAACTAACCCTGGAATGAAGTATATCCATACAATGGAAGAGTAATCGGCCATAAGAAGGAATGAAGTATGGATACATGTTACAACAGATTGAATCTCAAAAATATTGTGGTAAGTGAAAGAAGCCAGATACAAAACAACCATGAAGCAAAAGAAAAATCAAACAACTATGAAGCAAAAGAAAAATCAAAGATTAACACTCTAAACAGAATTAAATATGCTCAAACAAGCATTTGAGGACATGGCAAACTTGAAAAACTACCTTAAAACCAGAAATTCAATAACCAAGAATAAAGTTGAACAAAAAATAAAAAACAGGTAACAATAAAAAGTGTTTTGAATTCAGGAAAGAAAGATAAGACAAAATTATCTAAAAATGAAAAATGTTAGGGTATTCAAATGAAAAGTTAATAAAGGGCTTTAAGGAAAGACAAGACAACAGTGAAAAATGGAAATGAGATAAGAAGTGAAAAGAAAATAGGATAAAGTAAAAAGTCCAAAGAGTTAAAGAAAAAATTACTGAAAATAAAAGATACTAAAAAGGCACACCATTTGAATTATCAGAGAATATGAAGAAGAAAAACAAAACTAAAGCACAGAACTAATATTTAAAATTATAATCCAAGAAAATTTTCCAGAAAGAGTAAAAGATCTAAATCTACATATACATTAAACAGACCAATTCATACTTGGGAAAATTAACCCAGAACGATCAACTCCAATATTCTATGAAAGCTATTAGATTTTAAAGATAAAGAAAACCACAAGACCTCCAAGAAAAATAGACAAATAACACAAAAGGGGAAATAATCTGATTACATTAGATTTTTCAAATCCCACATACAAAATTTTAATGTATAGCATATTTTAAAATTTTATGAAAGGTGAGCAAAGGATTTTATATCCAAACAAATTTTCCTTCAAATATCAAGGGTACAGAAAATGTTTTTTCAACACAAAAAAAATAAGGAACTCGTCACCTGTGAGCCCTTCTCAAAACATATACGAGAAAATAACTTCATCTAACCCACGAGTCGATGAGAAAACTTCAGCAAGAAAATGAACATTTTAAAATACGTAAGTGGACATCTAAGATTAAAGAAACGTGGAGATGAAAGTAGAAACCAATGCACAAATATTCTGTGTATGACAAAATGGAAATAATCCAAAAGGAAGAAAAAGGAAAGAGAAAGAGGAAAACAAAATGGGACAAACAGGATTCCAAAAAGTCTGTGTTCAATAACATTCTACGCTGAAAAAGCAGCAGAAGCAATAATAAAAATTCAGTCACTTTTGTTATTTTGATATACTTTTTTCCAAAATATTTATCTTAAAAATACAAGTAGACAATGATAAATAATTAACACTATAGATCATCTTACAGTTCATCAAGTGCCTTCATATGTATTATCTTATTTAATCCTGGCAAAAGCCTTCATACACAAAGTGATAAGTGATAGAATTCAATCACCAGTCTTCTAACTCCAGAGCCTGACTTTTTCCTCTATCCCAGCTATTGAATTCTACTCTGGTACCTGTTATAGCTTATTGCACTTATTTGTGGACATAGCTATCTCCTCCAATATACAGCAAATCCTTTGAGAGCTGCTACCAGTATCTTTATATTCCTAATATCTGTAGCAGTGATTAAATGCTGAAAAAATGAATAAATAAAACTATCTCACACAGATGACACAAACATTAATTTGGAAGCGTTGGTCAATGCACATATTGAATTTTGCATAGTCTCTTTTACAACCTAGCAGCCTTGTGAGAGACTAGAATATATGTGTCAGCAGCATTTGTCGGTCAATATCTACCCAAACACAATAGCAACCTTAAACAAACAATAACAGGCAGTTCGATGGAGAACAATATCTGCCACCTGACAAAAGGACCTAATCCTATAACCTTAAATTACTTTGAGGTGGGGCAAGACTATATAGAATGACTGTAAGTCTAGCTGCAAGACACAGTCACTGATATAATTAAAAATACATTTGCAGCATTTCAAGAAGTTAATCATACAGCAGAGCATTCAATTTGCAATTCAATATTTTTTCCCACTTATTTTGTCAGTGCACAAGCAATTTTCTTTTAAAAGACTTCAATACTGAAGCCTCAGGCTACAGAGAGAAGAACCATACATAGCTGAGCAGATTCCAGTATTTCACTAAGGAGAAAAGGGAAAGCACAGGAAAATACAAAGTAGCCAAGGTGAAAAAAGCTTCCTAGTATGTGCCAATACTCGGGGACTTCCTGCTTGCCAGCCAACTCAGCCACAAACACACACTTGATGATACTGCAACAAGATGGACTTTCATAACTTGTCTGCTACCTCTCCTCATGTCCTCCACACTCACCTATTATTTTCTTTTTTCTCTCAACCTTTAATTTTGACAAATTTTACAGTTACAGAAAAATGGAAATGATTATACAATGAAATACCAACATACCTTTTGCCTGGGTTGCCTGGTTATTAACATTTTGCCAAATGTGCCTTATCTCTCTTTGCATGCATGTACACACACTTTTTTAAAAATTATTTTTTGAATGAAGCATTTGAAAATAAGCTACAGGCATCCTGCTTACTTTGTTAGACAGAGTTGAGGGAGAAACTTCAAATTCTTTCCAAGACGTATCCTCATATATCTCACATGTAAAACCACAAGCTAGATATGAATTAGATCAGAGAGATAAATATAGCCAAATTCCTACAAATATGAAATAATGTACCCAATATATATCATAGTATCTCCTACCTCATTCTATTTTTTATAGACTATAAATCATATAAACTGGTTTAAGGTCTGGGGCCATATAAACAAATAAGTTGATGTCATTAAAAAAAAAAAAACTACTACTTTGTTAGGTTGAAGCACAATCACATATTTCAGTATATACTAAATGCTAAAGAAATTCCATGGAAGATTACTATCATTACTGAAGATATCTTTGCACTTGGTTTTCAACACTAAAATCTTTAACCATTCATTGTTATAGAAGATTAATTTGAAATCAATACATTTTAGGACAAATAATAGAACAAATACATTCATTATCAAAACAATTCTTCATCACTATACAATGCATCTATGCAAACAAAAACTATCTGTACCCCCTAAAGTTACTGAAGTAAAGAAAGAAAGAAAAAAAAAAACAGCCTAACACATTCACTCATCTAGTATATCACTTTAATTCTTGGTTTCTTCTGTCACTCAAAAACTGTCATCACATACCACACAACACATAGGGTGCATATTTTGACCAAGTGCTTGACATCACAGTTTACACAAACAACCAAGCTATGTAAGATTACAGGGTTGTCAATATGGCAAACACAACTAGGATTCACTGATACCTAGCTTTTCTCACTTTTCTGGATATACAGAAAACTACTTCCCAGACCCCTTGAAGCTAAGAAGGACCACAATACAATAAATGAACTGTGATTAGAGGTGATGTTACTTCTGGTATAAGTCAGTAGAACGTTCCACCTTTCATCCCCCTATTCCCCTCCCAAGGCCATACACTGACACAATGGAACCTTAAGGGGTTCTCACCATGGACCTTTTAATCATCACTTGGAACAAGTTACCCAGGAGAGTCATGGTATCAACAGCAGGCTTTGCCACAAATAGAGAAAAAATGTTTATGTGGTAAGCAATAGAAATTTTAGAACTTTTCATTTGCTTATTTATGTGATTGAATTATCACATAAAGCCTAGCCTATTTTGACTACTATAGCCTAAAAGAATGTCTAACACAAAATAGAAGCTCAGTAAGCAATTACTGAATGAATAAATGAATTCAAAGATGAATAGCATATATAAATATGGAACAATATAGAGAGAAGTATACTACGTAGTTAAGAACTTGGACTAGAAACTTCTGTCAGAGCTTGTACTCTAATTCTGCCACTTGCTAGCTGGGTGACCCAGGAAAACTTATCTACAGTTCACTTTCCTCATCAATTGATTAGGGCCAGTAATAATACCTAACTTCAAAGGGTTACTTAGGATTAAGTGAGCTAATATAAAAGCACTCAGAATAGTTGCCAACACAAAAAAGGTGCTTAATACATGTTTTCATCTACATAAGCAAATACAAGTAACAGGACTACTGTTATGTTGTTTTTCTAATATCTGAAAATATTTTACTAGAAATGAGTCCAACTTAAATACAATATGCTTTAGTTGAATTTGATATTTAAAAGAAGCACTAAAATTACACATGCTTTAATTCACCTTCCTCAATTAATACAAAATTATTTCCTCCTCTATATCTTACAAAAGGTTTATCTAAGACCTATTAGCAAAGCAAAATGCTGTAACTAATACTTACCGCAGTAACACTTTCTTCACCATTAGTAACCTGCTTATAATAAGGTGATCCGGAAAGAACTCTCCAGGCAGAAAGGCCACAGCTAGAAGCTTTTGACATGCCTACTTCAGCAGCTTCACATCCACCAACCATTAAAAGTCTAAAAAAGAGAAAAATAAAAGGAACTGATAAACGCAAATACAAACAAGATAACAGCAAAACAAAGAGAGCAGATAAATAAATAAAACTAAAGTAATAATAAAAAAAAAAAACTAAAGAAAAATTACTGCCTGTTAAACCTAGAAGGCTAATCCTAAAGGAAACAATCAAAAGGTTTTTCAGTTAGAATTTCATCTTACACAAAAGTAAGGCGTAAATACTCAAACACCTTAAAACCCAGATGGGAACTTAAAAATTAAGAAAAAAGCATTTTAAGTCTCCCTACCGAAAATCAGAGAAACTCTATCCCAATACCAATAAACTTTAATAAACGGATGTGCAGCCTCACCCAGGTCCATTATGTATTATTTACAACAGTGTATCTGATGCAGTGAGGGCACAATCACAGAATGTTAGAAGGAAATGACAGAGGGAGTGCTTGGATGGGGAACAGCCATACAGCAATAACTGTACAGAAATAAGACTGGAAAGTAGCCTAAGTGCATGTTAGAATTGGTTCACTTTTCTGTTTGTTATACTCCATTAGCAAATGGAGTTAGTTACCACCAGGGCAAACAGCCCAACACATACTAAAATTTAAAAGACATTAATGTGCAACCACTTTGGAACAAAAACCAATTAATAATGGAACCAAAATGGTCACGATTTTTAAAGTTATGGTCAGTATATCTGGCAGGGATCTGTATAACAGGCATCATAATCACCTGTCTAGTAAAAGAAAAAAGTTTGAAAGTAAAGTTCTGATATACTTAAGGGAACACTGCAATTATCAGTGAATTCTCTGCTGTTGTCAATGACAGACAATGAAGACAGCAGAAGAAAGAAGTCACAGACTTCTCGGTGTTTTAATTTAAAAACCAGTCTCCACTATGCTATGGAAATTGCCTACTGCCTCAGGGGGAGAAAAAGACTTCCAGGGAGAGGCTTCACTGATCCTGTCCACATGGTGCTCTCCCTATACAATCTACCACGGCCACTATCCAAATGATAGACACTGTATCAAACTCCCTTTACACTACAACTTTAAAAGTGCCTGTCATCACTAGACTCCTATTTTGTCAAAAAAGAGAACGAACTTCACCACATATATCAGTTACCTTTTTCTAGGTCATACTCATAGAAAAACCAAATTTTTAAAAATTTTAGTTTCTGCATAGAAACTAAAAAGTGAAAGAAAACAATACTTCATAAGGTTCCTTACACTTGGCATATCAAAAGACAGACTCAGGTATATGACTATGTCAACCAAAGTTAACTTTTAAATGTCATAAAACTATAAATATCAGTAGTTCATGATATAACACCATGAACTCTTAATATTGCCCCTTCAAGACCAATAGAGGTATATGCCCAAGGGCAGTCAAAAAAAACTATATTACTGTAGAAAGCAACACCATCTTCTGTTAATTCTGCTAACCTTGTGTGCCTCCCAAAAGATGTCCATGTCCTAATTACTAAAATCTGTGGGCATGTTAGATTACATGGATTAAAGGTTGTTAATCAACTGACTTGAATGTAGGAAAATTATCCTGGATTATCTAGGTGGCCCCAATTTAGAAGGAGGAGGCAGAAGAGTCAGTGTCTGAGTGATCTAATGTAAGACTCAAATGAAGGTAGAAGAGGCCACAAGTCAAGGAATCTGGACAGCTTCTAGAAGCTAGAAAAGGCAACAAAACAAATTCTCCAAAGCCTCCAGAAAGGAACACAGCCCTGCTGACACCTTGATTTTAGCCCAGTGAAATCCATTTCAGACTTCTGACCTCCAGAACTGTAGGACAAGTTTGTATTATGTCACTAAATTTGTGATAATTTGTTAGAGCAGCCACGGATAACTAATATACATCTTGTTTCTTTCCCAGTCCCAAAACTCGGATGACCTACTAGACTCTAATTCCATCAACATCTTTCTTTTCATTTGACCACTGGCTTTCTAAAATGTCTGAACTGAGCTAATGCTAACAATCAAAGAACTAATCTCTACAATATACTCTTAGATGTAAAAACACAAAATCCTTCTAGATTTAACCATGTAGCTTAACCTATATAATCACAACTACATAGGAGGCTGAGTTTGAGGCTACAGTGAGCTACAATTGCACCACTGCACTCCAGCCTGGGTGCCAGAGCTAAACTCCCTCCCACCAAAACCAAAAGAAAAAAAAACCCTCAAAATCCACAGTCATTTGAATGCAAGAAACACAACTTGAGCCCTCACTCAAGGTCTTTTTCCTATGACTTTTGTACATGGCTCTAACAAATTCTCATCACAGCAAACCAGAAACAGAAAATTTTGAGATAATTGCTTAAAGCAATCTATTTGGGCCATTCATTCTCACCCTAGGCAAAACTTTAGAGCTAACACATAATTAACCCTGTTCACCAGGAGAAAAGAGATTTTGGTCCAAAGTCAAGCTAGTAGTATAAGTATTACTTGCCCAGAGCACTTATTCTGCTCAAATGATTCTATTACAGTAAAATATGTTTCCCAAAAAAGGTGTATCTAGTATAGATAAAATCATATTATCCCTCTGAATCGAACTCCCAATTTGGGGAAAATATTGATGAAAAAAGAAAAGCACTTTAAACAACATTCCAAAGATGCAATCAACAAAATCTAGACAGTGGGAAACTACAAAATAAATGACCTAGTTTCTTCAGAGCAAACACACACTCAAAGCAAAAGAGCAACAGACACAGGGAGAAAATGGAAAAAAGATCAATTAATTAAAAGAGAACACAGTCTGGATATTTGAAGATATTGACAAATTATTGAGTCCTTATTTTGTAGAAATACACACTGATTATGAAATAATATACCATCTAGGATTTACTTGAACATAATTCAAGGAAGGATGGGTAGAGAAATGGCTAGGGACACAGATAAAATGAGATCGGCCATAAACTGACTGTTGAAACTGAATAATAGGCACAAAGGAGTCGATATACTATTCTCTCTTTTTTTGTACATGCTTCACACATTTTTCCATAAAAAAATTTTTCCAAAAGTCCATTTGTTAAAAAACCTCCTCTAAATAAATAGAAACAAAAGGAGTAATTTGGAATATTAGAATACAGAATGTAATCATGTTTCCTTAATCAGAAAACATGTGGTTCGTAAAACATACCTTTAAAAACCAGTAGCTTATCATTATAATAAAAGTAAAAATCACTGTTTGAGAATTCAACAAATTCCCCAAAGATCACAACAAAACAGCTGCATTCACAGCACTTTGGGAGGGCAAGGCGAGAGTACTACCTGAGCCCAGGAGCTCAAGACCAGCCTGGGCAACATGGCAAGTTCCTGATTCTACAATACAATCAAAAAAATTAGCTAACCATGGTGGTATGCACCTTAGCCCCAGCTACTTGGAAGGCTGAAGCAGAAGGATCACTTGAGCCCAGCAGGTTAAGGTTGTAGTAGCTGTGATTATGCCACTGCACTCCAGCCTGGGTGACAGAGTGAGACTCCAATTCAAAAAATTATATATATATAGTTCCATGTTTATTATATATAACTTCTTTATATTTACATTAACAAACATATAAAATTTTAAGTTGCTGGATGACTGAAGGAGTTACAAGTCAACTTTCTGAAAATCCAGATTTTTTTATCTCCTGGTCTTGATACTAGAAGACACTTCCCTTCTATGGGTTCTGATAAATAGCCTATCTATGCACAGATCAAACTGACTGCAAAAGGACAAGATCCACTAAAAACAAAAGATTCTGTATTTGCTTCCCACTTTTTCTCTGTTCATGCCATACTGAAGAGTAAGTACAAAAAAGAAGGAGAATGACCAAATGAACCAAGTATTGTTCCCACCAGATGGGAGAGCTTTGAGACACTTGACACCTCAGCTATAAGAATGCATATGTCTTCACACATGCAAGCAAGCACGAATGCTCATATGTGTTTAAAGGGGAAAAAACAAAGATGACTTCATTAACAGCCAAAACAGGTAACAGACAGCAGGGACAATGTGCAGGGCCCTGAGTATACAGAGGTGAACAAGCTATGCTCTCTGTGTTCAAAAGCTCACTCTCTAAAGAGGGTGAATGTGAGGGAAGAGCAGGTGGCAGCATGGAATTAAATGGCACCAAAGATGACAGGCCAATCTGAAGACGATAAGCCAGTCTAAATCTACTGAAGGGAGTTTCCTCAGTTATACATGCCAGGGGGTATCAACCCCAATTCAAGATGTTAATTTATTCCATTACTTTAGCGTTTTAAAAGACAAATGATGCAGACTAGGGCTAACTTACAAGTGACTAAGAAAATAAAAATAAAAGCAGGTGGATAGTGATGCATGGCCAAGTAAACAGTTTCCATCATGACCACAGTGTTCAGAAAAGACTTCCAGGGCAACACTGGCCAGAAGTGAAGAACAATAAAGCTCTACTGGTAAAACCATGTAACCTAAAGTCAGTCAATGGGAACAAGAGGTATCCGGGATCAAGCACAATATGCTCAATACGTGTTTGCTGAGTGACTTGCGAATGTAAAGCTCCAGATTACTCCTTATGCAGCACAGAGTGAAGGTTCATAGAGACCTAGCTTCCCACTGCTCATCCTCACTTCTGCCCTTAGAATGTTTGAGCAATAAGATTGAGATGAGGCGGGAAATGGAAGGGGTCATGGCAATGGGGGTAGGGAAGAAGGGGACACAGTCTGATAAAAAAAGGACTAGACCAGGCTAAGTCAAGAATCTGGTAAAGAAAATATCAGGAAGAAAATCTGAAAATGTTTGGGAGAGATACAAGAGATATGAATGAAGAGAGAGAGACCGTATTCTTTGGAGCACTCTCAATACTTTAAAGATGCCAATTCTTCTTAATCTATAAATTGAATGCAATTGCACATAAAATCCTGGCAGAACTCTTCATGAAACTGAACAAACTGATTTTTTTTTTTTCTTTTTTTTGAGTTGGAGTCTCACTCTGTCACCCAGACTGGAGTGCAGTGGCCGCTCACGGCCACCA